GTGTGTGTGCGTGTGTACGTGTTTGTGTGTGCACGTGTGTGTGTGTGCGTGTGAGTGTGCGTGCGTGTTGTGTGTGTGTGTTTGTGTGCGTGTGAGTGTGCGTGCGTGTTGTGTGTGTGTGTTTGTGTGCGTGTGAGTGTGCGTGCGTGTTGTGTGTGTGTGTTTGTGTGCGTGTGTACCCAGGCGAGAGGCAGGTTTGGGTTTCCGTCGGTCCCACAGCAGAAGCCGTCCGTCCTGCAGGAGAGCGTGAGACGGTTACACACTCAAACACACGTGTGTGTGTGTGTGTGTGTGTGAGACGGCACTGACCTGAGCACATGACAGGAAGAGAGACTCGTCGACAGGAGAACACGACACACCGCTGACCGGCTGAGAGTGAGCTGACACACACACACAGACAGACATATTTTTAACAACTCATAAACAATATATAGTTTCAATAAAGCTCAAATTTTCATATAAATATAATTCATTATTTAAATATGAAAATACTTTTATACTAATAGCATTTATTTTAAATCAATACTAATTATTAAACAGAATATACATTAAAATAATTCACATTAATGACATATCAATAATATCTGATAATTATTAGCATATGACAATGCTCTAAGAATACATGTTTAATAATAATAAATAATATACATTTTAAATCTAACAAAATCACATGAATATTACTCGTTCAAAATATATATGAAAATGATCTAACTATATATTTACATATTTTATTAATAACCAATATATTTTAAAAAAATCACATTTGGACATTACTCACTCTTAAAATATCTGAAAATAAGAATCTATATTTACATATAATAAATAATATATACAGTTTAAATAAATCACAAATTAATATTCAATAATTAGTACAATTCTATTCTATATGAATAATCAATGTATAATTATTAAAATATAAAATACATATGAAACATATACATATATGCAATAATTAATAACTAATATATACCGTTTAAACAATATATATATATATATATTTTTTTTATAATCACATATGCATATGAACTATTGATCTATGAATCTACTGACCCATTACTTTCAAATGCAAGTGATTATATCTTAGTAAAGCTGAACTCATCAGTCTTTCATCATCTGTTTTTACGGAAATGTTTTTCATTCAGTTTCTTCAGAAGAATTCAAATAAATTCTTCAATCATGAGTTCATGAATCCAACCCACCTGATCCAGATGAATCACTTCATTTGATTCACGGCCAAGAATCATATCAAGACAGAGATAGAGAGTGCACGGCGTCTCATAAATATATATATAATTATACTGCATCTATAAATCTGATAATCTGAGTCTGTGGGTTATTAATCTGCAGTGACATCACTTCCTGTCTGCTCACCGTTATAGGAGCTGGTGACGGTCTCCTGGTTCAGATCCCACACTTTGATCCTGAAACGAGACGGAGAGAGAGATTGAGTGCCCGGAGATCATGTTGAGCCTCTCACAGTCTCACAGCGCCCCCTGCTGACCTGCAGTCCACACTACAGCTGACGGCGAGACGCCCGCCGGCGCTCACACTCACACCCGTCACCACGTCATCGTGCTCCAGACGAGTGAAGCGGTTCATCAGCAGCCGCTCGTCCTCCGCCAGCTCCCACAGCTCCACCGAACCTGACAACAACACACATATATATCAGAGAACACCACATGATCAAAACCAGGATAGAAACTCTAAAACCTAGTAATACCACGGTATACCGTGGTATTACTAGGTTTTAGAGTTTCTATGGTTTTCTATCATGGTTTTTGAGCATATACCATTGTATTACTAGGTTTTTGGGTTTCTATCATGGTTTTATATCATGGTTTTGAGCATATACCGTGTTATTACTAGGTTTTGGGGTTTCTATGGTTTTCTATCATGGTTTTTGAGCATATACCATTGTATTACTAGGTTTTTGGGTTTCTATCATGGTTTTATATCATGGTTTTGAGCATATACCGTGTTATTACTAGGTTTTAGAGTTTCTATCATGGTTTTCTATCATGGTTTTGAGCATACCCTGTTGGAAAAACCAGCATATGCTGGTTAGGTATGTTTTGAAGCTGGGATGCTGGTTTGAGCTGGTTTAAGCTGGTCCTTAGATGGTCATGTGGCTGGTCGGACCAGTTTAGGACCAGCTTAAACCAGCTAAAGATTGAGTGCCCGGAGATCATGTTGAGCCTCTCACAGTCTCACAGCGCCCCCTGCTGACCTGCAGTCCACACTACAGCTGACGGCGAGACGCCCGCCGGCGCTCACACTCACACCCGTCACCACGTCATCGTGCTCCAGACGAGTGAAGCGGTTCATCAGCAGCCGCTCGTCCTCCGCCAGCTCCCACAGCTCCACCGAACCTGACAACAACACACATATATATCAGAGAACACCACATGATCAAAACCAGGATAGAAACTCTAAAACCTAGTAATACCACGGTATACCGTGGTATTACTAGACAAAAACCTACTAATGCCATGGTAAATGTCCAAAAAATCTAAAATAACACAATATTATTGTTGAACATCCACAAAAACCACAGTATTACCATGGTACAAGTCCAAAAACTATGATGAAACACCAGTATATGTCCAAAACGTTAATACCATGGTAAATGTCCAAAAAAAAAGGCTAAAACAACAACAATATTATTGTTAAATATCCATTAAAAACATGGTATTACCATGGTCCAAAAACTAAGATAAAACCCCAGTACTTGTACAAAAACCTACTAAAATATACCACGGTATACCGTGGTATTACTAGGTTTTAGAGTTTCTATGGTTTTCTATCATGGTTTTGAGCATATACCATTGTATTACTAGGTTTTTGGGTTTCTATCATGGTTTTATATCATGGTTTTGAGCATATACCGTGTTATTACTAGGTTTTGGGGTTTCTATGGTTTTCTATCATGGTTTTTGAGCATATACCATTGTATTACTAGGTTTTTGGGTTTCTATCATGGTTTTATATCAACTAAAATACGGTATATTTGACAATACCATGTAAATGTCCAAAAAAAAAAAATACTACAACAACACAATATTACTGCTGAACATCCACAAAAACTACAGTAAAACCCTAGTATCTTAAAAAAAAAAAAAAAAACCCCAGTTTAAACCAGCATCCCAGCTTCAAAACATACCTAACCAGCATATGCTGGTTTTTCCAACAGGGTATGCTCAAAACCATGATAGAAAACCATGATAGAAACCCCAAAACCTAGTAATAAAAGGGTAAATGTCCAAAAAACCTCAAATAAACTAATATTACACGTACAAAAACCTACTAATGCCATGGTAAATGTCCAAAAAAACTAAAATAACAATATATTATTGTTGAACATCCACAAAAACCACAGTATTACCATCATGGTAAATATCAGTAAAATTATAAACACCAGTATATGTCCAAAACGTTAATACCATGGTAAATGTCCAAAAAAAAAGGCTAAAACAACAACAATATTATTGTTAAATATCCATTAAAAACATGGTATTACCATGGTCCAAAAACTAAGATAAAACCCCAGTACTTGTACAAAAACCTACTAAAATACGGTATATTTGACAATACCATGTAAATGTCCAAAAAAAAAAAATACTACAACAACACAATATTACTGCTGAACATCCACAAAAACTACAGTAAAACCCTAGTATCTTAAAAAAAAAAAAAGAAACCTAGTAAAAAAGCTCAAATAACACAATATTATTGTGGAATATCCACAAAAACGTGGTATTACCATGGTACAAGTTTAAAAACTATGATGATAACCCTGGTAGATGCTCAAAAGCTAATACCTAACTAATACCACGGTAAATTTCCAAAAAAGCATAAATAACAATATTATTGTAACCCCAGTATATGTCCAAAACCCTACAAAAACCATGGTAAATATCAGTAAAATTATTAATACAGTACATGTCAAAAAGCACACTATTACTATGGTAGATCTCTAGAGAAGCACAATAATTATTGTTGACCAAATGTAAAAAAAAACATGGTAAATGTCCAAAAATGATGATAAAACCTTGGTACATGTTCAGAAACAGTGTATTTCTATGGAAGATGTTAAAACACAATATTCTCATGGTTGAGGCCTAAAATAACACAAAAACACGGTATTTGCATGGTACAAGCCTAAAAACCATGATATTACAATGGTACAATATTCAAAAAACGTCAAGAAAAGTACATGGCATTACTGGAAGTAGCATACAAATACCATTGTACCATGGTTTTACCATCACAGTACTTCTTGTCAGAGTGGTATCACTACGGTATACAGGCTTGTGGTAACAGGGTACCTGCGTCTGAGGCCAGCAGCAGCGAGCGCTCTGAGATCCACCGCGCATCCGTGACTCCAGCTTCAGTCTGAACGCCCGCCTTACAGAAGCCCTCGCTGGGCGCCAGCTTGGGGTCACTGTACACCCACACAGAGCCCTGCCAGCAGCGGCCCGACAGACTGGACGCCGCCAGCAGCAGCGCGCCGTCTACAACACACACGAACACTTATTACTGCGTCACGCAAACAGAAACAATATACACATTATAAATACAGAGGAATTTACAGTGACGCATTGCTGCCACACACATATTACTTTTTCCACTCAATTAGGCTGTGTCATAAATAATAGCAAGATGTTTTGTCGTTTTAATAACATCATCTCATTAAAACGTAATCGTTTCTCGTAATTGTGAGATGTTATGTAACATCTCGTTACTATGAGAAAAAGATGTTTTAAAGAGATAATTGTAATTTTAACGACATATCTCGTTATTATGAGAAAAGATAAAAAAAAAAAGAAACCTAGTAAAAAAGCTCAAATAACACAATATTATTGTGGAATATCCACAAAAACGTGGTATTACCATGGTACAAGTTTAAAAACTATGATGATAACCCTGGTAGATGCTCAAAAGCTAATACCTAACTAATACCACGGTAAATTTCCAAAAAAGCATAAATAACAATATTATTGTAACCCCAGTATATGTCCAAAACCCTACAAAAACCATGGTAAATATCAGTAAAATTATTAATACAGTACATGTCAAAAAGCACACTATTACTATGGTAGATCTCTAGAGAAGCACAATAATTATTGTTGACCAAATGTAAAAAAAAACATGGTAAATGTCCAAAAATGATGATAAAACCTTGGTACATGTTCAGAAACAGTGTATTTCTATGGAAGATGTTAAAACACAATATTCTCATGGTTGAGGCCTAAAATAACACAAAAACACGGTATTTGCATGGTACAAGCCTAAAAACCATGATATTACAATGGTACAATATTCAAAAAACGTCAAGAAAAGTACATGGCATTACTGGAAGTAGCATACAAATACCATTGTACCATGGTTTTACCATCACAGTACTTCTTGTCAGAGTGGTATCACTACGGTATACAGGTCCATAAACACACAGCAATACCATGGTGCTTGTGGTAACAGGGTACCTGCGTCTGAGGCCAGCAGCAGCGAGCGCTCTGAGATCCACCGCGCATCCGTGACTCCAGCTTCAGTCTGAACGCCCGCCTTACAGAAGCCCTCGCTGGGCGCCAGCTTGGGGTCACTGTACACCCACACAGAGCCCTGCCAGCAGCGGCCCGACAGACTGGACGCCGCCAGCAGCAGCGCGCCGTCTACAACACACACGAACACTTATTACTGCGTCACGCAAACAGAAACAATATACACATTATAAATACAGAGGAATTTACAGTGACGCATTGCTGCCACACACATATTACTTTTTCCACTCAATTAGGCTGTGTCATAAATAATAGCAAGATGTTTTGTCGTTTTAATAACATCATCTCATTAAAACGTAATCGTTTCTCGTAATTGTGAGATGTTATGTAACATCTCGTTACTATGAGAAAAAGATGTTTTAAAGAGATAATTGTAATTTTAACGACATATCTCGTTATTATGAGAAAAGATATCGTTTAAACAAGAAAATGATGTCATTTTAACGACATCTCGTTTTAACGAGAAAAGATGTATTAACAAGAAAAAGATGTTGTTTTAACGATATATCTCGTTATAACGAGAAAAGATGTATTAACAAGAAAAAGATGTTGTTTTAACGAGAAAATGTCATTTTAATGACACCTCGTTATTATAAGAAAAGATGTAGTTTTAACGACATCTCGTTATAACGATGAAAAGATGTATTAACGAGAAAAATATTTCATTTTAACGAGAAAATATCGCATAACGAGAAAAGATTGTTAAAACGACATCTCGTTTTAACGAGAAAAGATGTTTTAACAAGAAAAATATGTTGTTTTAACGATATATCTCGTTATTACGAGAAAATATGTTGTTATAATGAGAAAAAGATGTCATTAAAAAACTCCTCTAGGTGTCGCGATAGCTCCATTTAAAAAAAAAAAAAAAATTCTGTAAATCCATTCTATAATGCATTTTTACACTGAATTATTTATATAGTTTTAATTTCACGCCACATTAGACATTCTGTCAACAAAAATGAACTTTCATAAAACAGTAAAATAACAGCTTATCTGGCCTATTGCAAAATGAAAACGTGATGAATGTACATATATGAATGTTATAGGCTACTGTTTATGTTCTGAGTCCTTTATTGGTTTGAAAATAAATATCAAGTTCATAAAACATAATGTAAACACTTGGATCTGAAAATGACTTTTTTTCAAAGTCATAAAACAGTAAGTCATTGTGCATCTCCAAACACAAAACACTGAAGCAGCGTTTATACACAGTCTGTATCACATGCTCCTTGCCTCTCACAGAGCTCACAGTGATGTGTAAACATGCTGAAACCTCACTCAGACCACCTCAGACCTGGTCTTTGGTGTGATATAAACATCATCCCTCCTGCGGGGTGAGTTTAGAAGGCGTGTGTCCGGTTAGCAGAGCTTCTGAGCGTGGTTTCAGAGAGTTTGTGTTTGTCCTGTCAGGTCATCAGAGAGCTGATCTCCAGGTCTTCAGAGCTGAAGGGCTGAAACACCAGCTCCAGCAGCCCTAAAACTGACCCCAGGACAGCCAGGAGCGAGCCCACCAGATAGACCTTCAGCAGACCCCGGCTCGGCTTCTGGCTCAACACCTCTCTGATGAAGGGGACCAGCTCCCTCAGCGTCTCCATGATGATTGGATCTGTTCAGAGAACACGGGTCAGCTGATCATCAGAGCACATGCAACATCTGATCAATACCAGTGTTATTTGCTCACCTGCTGAAGTCCAGCTCTGCGTCTCGGCTCTATGAGACTGTAATGCTGCTATTCAGCCTTTATACAGCCGATCCAGAGACGTGAGGAACATGATCAGCTGCCTGCTGGGAGAGACTCCAGCTGACCTCACACACACACACACACACACACACACACACACTCTCTCACACACATACACACACACACACACACTCACACACACACACACACACTCACACACACACATACGGTCACTGTGTCTGGATCAGCACTGCTTTATTTGCTTTATTGAGACCACTGGGTCACACATTCAGCTCAATTCTGTTCTACTTTTTATCCTCAGCTGCAATTTTAAAGAAAGAAAGGCATCATCCCATAATAATACCCTAGCAACCACCATTAACGCTAAGTAACAATGTAACACCCTAACAAACATTCACTTCACCCACAACATCCCATAATACCCTAGCAATGCCTTGGCAACCACCTAGAATACCCTTGGAACCACATAGAACATCCTAGCAACCACTCATAATACCCTAGAAATGCCATGGCAAGAACCCAGAACACTTTGGTAACCACATAAAATAACCTAGCAACTCCCTGGCAACCAACAGTAATACTCTAACAATGCCCTGGCAACCACCCAGGACACTTTAGTTACCACATAAAACACTTTTGCAACCACTCACAACACCCTAGCAACCACCCAGAACATCACAGGAAATCCCTGGCAACACCCTCAATACCCTACACTGGCAACCACCCAGAACACTTTAGTAACCATGTAGAACACCCTAGCAACCGCTCATAATACCCTAGCAACACCCTGGCAACCACCCAGAACACTTTAAAAGCCACTTAGAACGCAATAGCCACTCACTGGCAACTACCTATAGTACCTTAGCAACGCCCAGGCAAACACCCAAGCAACCACCCATTACTCAATAGTAATTCCCTGGCAATGACTCAAAGCACCCTAGCAACCACCCATAAGACCTAGCAACGCTATGTCAATTACCCAGAACACCTTAGTGACCATATAAAACACACTAACAAGTAGCAACCACCTAAAACACCCCAGCAACACCCTGGAAACAACCCAGAACACCCTAGCAACTCCTTGGCGACCATTCACGATACCCTAGCAACCACTCACAATAGCTAGGAAATGCCGAGTCAACCAACCATCACCCAAGTTATCATCAACAAGCCAAGCAGTCTTACATTAGTATTATTAGCATTAGCGTGTGTTAAGTGAACATGAGTTCAGACATTCAGAACATTCGTTATGTTGGCGTAAACGTGTGAATATTAGCGTGTGTTAGGTGTATATGAGTTCAGATGTTCAGAGCAGACTCTATGATGGAGAGAATATTAGCGCGGCTCTCAGAGCATGTGAGTGGCTGGAAATTCCAGAGTGAACGGCGACATTAATCTGATTATTTCCAGACGACCAGCAGAACAAACTGTTGTAGTGATTCTGTGGCGGGAGTTTCCTGCCGTTCTTAAAGAGACGGCGTTTGACTGGACATCTGAACACACTCACTGTATCTCTGATCAAACACACATTTGTGTTCGAGTCACACACTTCAGTGAGTCACTGTGATTGTGATTTGTTCCAGAAGGATCTATTACATGCCCGACTGAACCAAGCACATACAGCAGGTGAATATAAACGTATGCTGTTGCATAAATCCTGCTGTGATGTTCCAGACGTGTGTGAACGTGCAGCACTAGTGGCTCAGAAGAGCACAGGAGGAGCAGAAGCTCTGAATGTCCTGCCACACAACACACACACATTCAGCAGATTCCACCGGAGGAACATCTGTACACACACACACACACACACACACACACACACACACACACACACACACACATACACACACACATACACACACACACACACACACACACACACACACTCACACACACACACACCTGACTAACTTGTGCTGATGAATGTGTATGTGTGTGTGTTATTTTCATTTATAAATGCTTGTATTTATGAATATTTAAATGTGATTATGAGCATCTATATGTTTTGTTTATGTGTGTTTATTATAACTATTTATGAATGTTTGTGTTACATATATATTTCCATGTGTGTGTATATGTCTATATGTGTGTGTTTATGAATATTTATGAATGTCTATGTGTGTTTATGAATATTAATAAATGTGTATGTGATTATGAATTTCCGTACGTTTATGAATATTATGTTCATTAGTGTCTATATATGTCTATGAATGTTTATGAATGTCTATATGTGTGTTTATGAATGTCTATATATGTTTATCAATATTTCTGAATGTGTTTATATGTAGTTATGAATGTCTATATGTGTGTTTATGAATATTTATGAATGTTTATGATATTTATGAATGTACGTGTGCTTATGAATGTCTGTGTGTGTTTATAAATATTAATGAATGTTTATGTGATTATAAATTTCCCCATGTTATTATACAAATTTGTGTCCTCATAAACCACATAAACATGCACACACACACACTCTCACACACACACACACACACACACACACACTCACATACACACACACATACACATACACACACACATACACACACACACACACACACACACACACACACTCACACACACACACACCTGACTAACTTGTGCTGATGAATGTGTATGTGTGTGTGTTATTTTCATTTATAAATGCTTGTATTTATGAATATTTAAATATGATTATGAGCATCTATATGTTTTGTTTATGTGTTTATTATAACTATTTATGAATGTTTGTGTTACATATATATTTCCAAATGTGTGTATATGTCTATATGTGTGTGTTTATGAATATTTATGAATGTCTATGTGTGTTTATGAATATTAATAAATGTGTATGTGATTATGAATTTCCGTACGTTTATGAATATTATGTTCATTAGTGTCTATATATGTCTATGAATGTTTATGAATGTCTATATGTGTGTTTATGAATGTCTATATATGTTTATCAATATTTCTGAATGTGTTTATATGTAGTTATGAATGTCTATATGTGTGTTTATGAATATTTATGAATGTTTATGATATTTATGAATGTACGTGTGCTTATGAATGTCTGTGTGTGTTTATAAATATTAATGAATGTTTATGTGATTATAAATTTCCATACGTTTATGAATATTATGTTTATTAGTGTCTATATATGTCTATGAATGTTTATGAATGTCTATATGTGTTTATCAATATTTCTGAATGTGTTTATATGTAGTTTTGAATGTCTATATGTGTGTTTATGAATGTTTATGATATTTATGAATGTACGTGTGCTTATGAATGTCTGTGTGTTTATGAATATTAATGAATGTTTATGTGATTATAAATTTCCATACGTTTATGAATATTTATGTTTATTAGCGTCTATGTGTCTATAAATGTTTATGAATGCTTATGTTTATGAATATATATGTGTTTATCAATATTTCTAAATGTGTGTAAATGTATTTATGAATGTCTATATGTGTTTATAAATATTTATGAATGTTTATGAATATATATGGATGTTTATGATATTTATGAATGTCTATGTGTGTTTATGAATGTTTATGTGGTTATGAATTTCCATATGTTTGTGAATATTTACGTGTTTATTAGTGTCTATATGTGTCTTTGAATGTCTATATGTGTGTTTATGTATAATTACGAATTTTTACATGTGTTTATTAATGTCTCTATCTGTGTTTATGAATTTTTAATGTCTATGTGTTTATCAATATTCATGAGCATGTATGTATGTGCTTATGAATGTCTATATTTGTGTTTATCAATATTTACGAATGTCTATATGTGTTTATTCATATTTATGAATGTTTCTGTTTATGAATGTCTATATTTGTGTTTATAAATCTTTTTGAATGTTTGTTTATGAATGTCCATATGTGTTTATGAAGGTGTTTAAGTAAACATGTGCGTATGAATGTTTGTTTGTGTTTATGTTTGTGTGTAAGTATATATGTTTATGTATGTCTATATGTGTGTTTATCAACATTTATAAAGGTGTTTAAGTAAACATGTGCGTATGAATGTTTGTTTGTGTTTATGTTTGTGTGTAAGTATATATGTTTATGTATGTCTATATGTGTGTTTATCAACATTTATAAAGGTGTTTAAGTAAACATGTGCGTATGAATGTTTGTTTGTGTTTATGAATATTTATGAAAGTGTGTAAGTATATATGTTTATGAATGTTTGATATGAGACCCCCCCCCCTTCTGGTTGCCATGGTGATCTGGCAGCAGTGTTCAGGTGTGGCACCTTCGTCTGTGTGTGTTGAGTCACTGTCTCACCTCAGACGGGACACACCTCACACACACACACACACACACACACAGCTGAAATCAGTGCCTGCAGGCCAAGAGTTTTAACACACACACACACACATAGCACTTCATCACACACATTCACTGCTCAGCAGACACACACAGGAAACTCTGCACTGCTTGTTTATGAACTCAAATCTCATTCACTGATTGTATACAAATCTGAACATTCAGCTCACAGGAGCTTTCAACCTGAGCTAAAGCTGCTGGTTAGTGCTGGTTAGTACCACATCACTACCACAGGACATGAATACAGTGTTCATCTGTCTCATATATCATAATAATGAATCATGATTACATTCCATCTCCGTTACTTTGAGGATGTGAGTGTGTGTGTGTGTGTGTGTGTGTGTGTGTGCGCGTGTTGATTCATGTTATAAGGGTGTGACGCTGTGAGGGAAGGCGTCACACACACACACACACACACACACACACTCACACACACACACACACACACTCACACACACACACAGGTGAGCAGCTCCTGAAATAAAAGCCGAACACACACGGCACACACTGCATTTGAACACTTCTCACACACAGAACGACAGCATTCACACACTAACGGGTGAGTTACGGTAAACTACTGCGTTAACCCGGATTTAACCGTCATTCAGCTGTGTTTCAAAGAAAGCCTGACAGTGTTTTATTCGTTTAGATCCCTATATTGTCTGGATGAAGACCTGGATTTTTCTTTCACTCGCAGGTTTGTTTTTAATCACAGACTTACAAAAGCCAAAATGTATGATCAATATTAACTTTACAGTTTTTGTCAATCTTTTTGATCTGATTTTATGTTTATATTTACATTACATTTTAGTAATCTTGTTCTTGTTTGCTATTTTATTAGTTTTGTTGTTTTTAAATACGTCTATACAGTTTTTACCTTTTTTTATTTTTTTTTACAGTTTTAGTTATTTTAGTACTTCAGCCTGAACTAGATGAAATCAAAATAAGCTTAAGTTATTTTATTTAAAAAAAAAAAAAAAAAAATCTTGATTTTTAACTATAATAACCTTAACATGGATATGACGTTTGTATAAATTCGTATGCTCTAAAAAACGTTATCGTCAAAACATTTGAACTTTCATAGCCTTGAACGTCTAAAAGCATTTATAAAAATTTATGAATGTCTGTATGTGTGTTCATGAATGTTTATGTGTTAATAACTGTCTATGTGTTTATTAATATGCATATATGTACCATAGTGAAATATGTATTAATGTTATGCTTTTTGAACATTATGCATTATGACAAATCAATTGCATTCTTGAAGTAATCTGTAAATTCCATGCCACATGAACATCCTAATCAAAAGCAGCATGATTCTACGATGGTTTTGTGGTGAAGTGTCGTTCTGTGAGTGAATGTGACGGTGTTGTGTTATCTTCAGCTCTGTCTGCGGTGTGCACGGGACAGCATGACTGCGGGCGCGGGGCGTGTTACCCTGCGATGGGCGACCTGCTGCTGGGCAGAGAGCAGAGCCTGCGCTCCTCCTCCACATGTGGTCTGATGGGGTCTGAGGTGGTCTGCACTCCACACGGACAGGTGATGCTCGTCTAGCGCTGAAAAACACAAGGTTCTCTCAGTTAGAAGCGTATCTTGGGTGTGGTTCTGCATGGAAGCTAAAATGTGAGAACAAAACCAGTCTCAAAAGGTGCACTAAGCGATTTTTACCAAACGATGTTGATATTCGAAAGCACCCCCCGTGTTAATTTTGACAGGCGTTTTTGATTTAGTCTTACGCCCCATTCACACGCTTCTCGTTTACTTTGAATGGAGTGACGTCAAGCGTTGGCGAAATGAATTGTGGGTTCGTCGCGTCGCGGCAGAAGTTGAAAACTTTTCAACTTTTCAAGCGCCAACTCAGGCGTCAGCCAATCAGATGACCGTATGCAAATACCCTAGCGCAGACGCTAGCCAATCGCGTTCATGCAACACCAGAAGACTAATGTGATTGGCTGTTGTCACTATGACGGTCGCGTCAGAACCAAGCTTCAGAAACGCCCTCCGTCAAGCGTTAAAGATGAGTCTTTATCTTGAGACGAAAATGCTTAATAGTCACATTTTAGTCATTTGAGTCTTTCATAGTTTCAGTCTAGTTTTAGTCGACGAAAAGTCATTGCATTTTTGTCAACTTTTAGTCAAACTGCAGTTGCCAACATTTATTTTGGTAGCTATTTTATATGTAGTCTTCAAACAAAAATAGTCATTAATTCTTCTCTCTTTAGACCAAATCAATTAAGCTTATGAGAAATTTGAATCAAGGATTGAATTTGGAAAAACTTGAATAAATGATGACAATTTTCATCTTTGGGTGAACTATCCCTTTAACAGTAACTGAAAAGGGAGCAACTTATAAAAATTATAGTTGTTCATATATAATATATCATTTTTGAAAAAGAAGCAGAATAAGACAATAATACAAATACGAAAGAGATACAAATTAAACTTGTTTTTCAGATTCAGTAGGTTTACTTATATTTGTTTAGCATCTTTTGTTGGTTAACATTAATGACACGGATAGGTACTTAATTAGGAACGCTGTCCCTTTAAGACGGAATGCATGCATGTAAACACACGTTCAGTTTTCACCCACCTGTTTACGTTCACTTCATCCATAACCGACTGTATTTACATGAGATACTCCACATGATGGAGATTTGGACTGCTGTGTGTGTATTTGAGCTCTGAGAACTGATCGCGCTCTGTAAATGAGAACCGAAGAAGTG